TGCAAAGGGGATAGGATTCCTCCTGGACACAGCTCCCAGCTGCACAGCAGGACTGTGGGACCCTGGGGACTAGAGGGCACTGTCACCTCTTCCCATCCAACCTCTCTGAACTCTGCTAAAACCTGGCCCAGGCAGCACAAATGCTCTTCTGAGCCCAGGGGACAGGGCACAGGCACCCTGCACTGCCATCACTCCTGTTATCCATGCAGTGACCCCTCCGCTTCCACCCCCAGGGGATAAAAGGATGTGAATCCATCACATTCCACCCCTGGAGCAGGCAGAGGCTCTGCTCCCCGACTTGTTTAAGGCATTAACAGCTGGGGAAGGAGCATGTGGGAAGCTGGGATAAGTACAGCGCCTGGGGATGAAGGGCTGTAAGATCCTAACAATCCACATCCACCCAGCTGCTTCCTGGAGGACCTCGGCCGAACAATAGCTCAGCAGGGAAAGTTCCTTTCCCAGGCAACAGCCACCCTGCCGCAGGGCTGAGCAGCTGGAATTGTCCCCGCACAAGAAGCCACCGTTGGCACTGCGTGGGCCTGGCATTGTCCCCAAAAGTCAATTTAACACCCTGAGGTCAGTAATTTCTGCCCTCGGCTCCCTGCTGCCAGCAGATCCTAAAATATCGCACTTTGCCTCACTGCACAGTTCTCCAGGTGAGGAATTCTCCCAGGAATTACAGCCCTCAAGGCAGGATCTCTTTTCTGCCCTTGTCACAGAGCCAGATGGCTGCTCACACCTCCTGTCCCCCCAAACCTCCTTCCTTACCCCCTTCAGCACTTCCTCCATGTGGTCGCAGAACTGCATGAACAGGTTGATTTTCCAGCTGGTGTTACAGTTGACCGAGTTCACCTGCGGAGCAAGAGAGCGCGGTCATGACCCCAGGACAAAGGAAGAAAAGGAAGAAGAAGGAAAAAAAGCCAGGCCCTCCTGTACCTCCTTGCAGCCAGCGTTATCAGCCAGCTCATAGTTGCTGGCGTGCAGCGGCTGCCCGGCGTTCACAGGGTTCAGGATGACTTTGTCTCCCACGACTACCTGGGGAGCAGAATGGGAAAAGGGCAGCGAGGATGAGACCGGGTTCCCGGTGTGGAGCCAAGCCCAGGCGTGGAGCTCTCTGCACACCCCTTCAGGGACTGCTGGGCCCCGTGCTCACGTTATCCCCGTTGCTCCTGAGCTTCCAGAAGGGCTGGATGAAGAGCCAGGAGCCCTCGTTGCCGGTGGCATCCAGGGTCACCCGCATGGCGTTCTTCTCCAGCAGCGCCGGCAGCCGCTTGTTCACCGTCAGGTACTTGTTGCTCTTCATGTGCAGCAGCTGGAGGAGCCGAGCGTGGGAGAGCTGAGAAGCGCAGCCCCCAAGGCTCCCCAGACACCGCCAGCCCCTTCCCAGATGTGCTGGATCCCTGCTGGATCCATGCTGGATCCCTGCTGGGTCTGTGCTGGATCCCTGCTGCCCCCCGTACCTGGATGACGCTCCCGTACTTCACCACGTCCCCATGCACCTTCTTGTTCTCCGTCTCGTTCTGCTTCTGCTCCATCTGGGCTGCGTGCTGCTCCAAAAGGAGAAGAGCTGAGCGTGGAGCAGCACCCTCCTCCCTCCCCAGGAGCAAATCCCAGCAGGGTCACTCACAGCCTTGGCTTTGGGAAGGATGGGATGGGCTGGGTGTGGGATCAGCATCCCTCTGTGCCCCAGAGCCATAGCATGGAACATCCAGGAGCTCAGCCCAGGGCCAAGGTGTGGCCTTGACCAGCCCTAGGAAGTCCATGAAGGCTTCAAATTGAGGATTTTAAAAATTAGGACAGAAATAAAATGACACCAAAATTCCCCCAGGACAGCAGGTTTTGGGGTAGCAGCCAGTGAGGGTGCTGGGCTCAGGCTGGGGATGGGGGTAAAACACCCCAAAAAGGGGCTGTGGGCACCAGGGGCTCTTGGCAGCACCAAAACCAAGGAGCTAAA